AGAGAAATTTGTCCAAGAAGCTAAAAGATCAACAATATGCTACAAACAACATGACAAAGGCTGACATGCATAAAGGGGCTTGGACCCCGGTCATAACTGCTTTGCAGTTCTAGTTTTAGTTTTTTTTATTTTAATTGATTTCTGTGATTTGATTTGAAGAACTATGTTTAAATTCAGTTACAATGTGTTTTTTATTTTAACAGCTGTAGAAACTGCTGAGGTTCAAGAACAGATGCTTCCTACAGCCTGAAACACAAAGAGGAACTCAGTGAGTTGTTTTATTTATTAAACTGCTGCTTGATTGTAAATATTAACTGTAAAACTTACGCAGCTGAAAAACGAATATTTTTGCTGTTATTTTCCCCACAGTTAAAAAGGTTTTTAAATTTGGTAAAATATTAAGAATATTTACAGTAAAACTTTCAGAAAGATGACTTTTATATTCAAGCATTAATTTGCTTAAATTTGTAAATTGTTTGAAGAAAATGAACAGTTTTTGTCTTAAAGGCAGATTAAAAAATAACATTATTACTAAAGTTACAGCCTTCTGTGAACATTCAGCTGCATTAAACATTTAATTTGTTTTTGTGTTTTCAATTGTTTAATTATAATTGTTTCTTGTCTCCTCAGGATGGATCAAGTTTGTTCTGAACTAAGGAGTGGTTTCACCTCAGTATGCTCTGAAATGAATAATATAGTTTTATAATTAGATGAAAAATGTGTTTAAAAGTTATGTAATTAGTGATTAAATATTTTACAGACTGGTTAGATGGAAACCTTTTTGATTTTATGTCCTAAATAATTAAAGTTTCTGATTATTATTACCAGTGGAGATGAAAACATGTTTCAATAAATTTTTTAATAAAATCATCAAAACCCTCAGTTCAGTTCAAACTAATCAGCAGTTTAATAAACAAATCCACCAAACTTTACAGTTTTAGTTTTCTGGTGTTGGGTTTTTCTGCTCAGTTGTGAATATTAATACACACACTTTCTCTGTTTAAAAATAAGCTTTAAGGTATGATGACATCATATTACTTAGCAAAAAGTTGTTAAAAATTTAATAATAAAAGATTATTTAGTTTTTCTGATCAAAACCTGCGTCTGTGTGACAAAATCAAATTAGTTTAAACTTTGTTAAAGCTCATGTATAAAACAACACAATTTACTTAGAAATACAGATTCACAAAATACTTCATGAAGAGAAATGAACTTCGAAGTGGAAAAGTGTCAGCAGGTAAATTTAATCACTGAGTTTATTTGAAGGATGAGGAGGAAATTATTTTACATCCATGTGATGCATAATTAGGTATTTTATTTTATATTTCCACATTAGACTGACACATATTCTTTAAAACAAACATCTTTTCTCCTGAGTCATTGTTTCCTAATCACACAGATTCCAAACTTCAGACCAAATTAGTTTCCAATCGTGTAAATAATGTGTATATTTCTTTTTATCTGATGAAGGTAAAGTTTTAAAGCTTTGATTGAGATTGTACCTGAGTAAATGATGATGAAAAATGTTTTTACTAATGTTTCAAAAGAGTATTTGATTTGATTTGTGTGATTTTTTATTTTTATTTTGCAGTTGGTCTTCATGATTGCTTTGAAAATATATTTGGGGGAAGCAGTTTTTTTTCTGTCAGACAATTAAGAGCTGTAGTTGAGCCTTTTTTTCTTCCTGGTGTTTTTTTTTTCCTTTCTCATTTTAGAAATGATGAATGTCAACTTTCAAGGCTGTTTTAATTGTTTTGTAACTTTATTTCCAATCTTTTAAATAAAGATCCTATTTAATCTTGTTTTTGTGTCCATAACTATTTTATTTAAAGGATGAGCTGACACATTGGTCAGTAAAGCTTTACACTGATGAATGTAGCTCAGGATATTATAGATTTTCCTGACATTTTTAACTATACTGCTTTAGTTTTTTTATACTGAGAATTAAAAAAACGGGAATAATATTAGATGCTTACATTTAAACAAATCTGTCTCAATATCACCTTCACAGTTTAAATAAACAGAACAGGTTAGAGCTGAACTCAGCAGGACAGGCTACAAACCACTCAACATTTTAATTTACCTGAATATAACTTTAATTATTCACCTTTTTCTTGTAGCTGACTGACAATAATCAGCAAAATAAAATGTTTGTAAAAAATACTAAAGCAAGATCTGGCTCTGAATCTTGAGTTGTATTGAAGGTATTGTGTCCTTTAGCTGCACAGTTTGAAGTGTTTGGATGGTTTTCATGATCAGGACTGGGTGGGTCCCTTCATTTAGAAAAATATGAAATGGAAATAAATAGCTATCCAACAATGTGATGGCTAATTAAAATTGCCAATTTTGTTAAATAAAAAAAGGCATTTTAACTTACTCTGAATGATTCATACAGTGACTTCAAATACACACATATACACTGTATTGTATGAAATTGGTAAAATATGTGTCAGTTCAGATAACTACTTTTGAAAGTAGCTGCTAAGCCATAGTAAAATATATGGAGTTTTGTTCTAAATTGAATAATTGTGGGATGCTGTAATCTGATTTTTTTAAATCTTTGAAATCCAGTGAAATTTTTTTGCTAGCTTTTTTATACATTTGTATTTTGAAAATATTGACATTGTAAGTGGTTTTCTCTCTTTTGTAAATACTTAGAACTTTACATTTTAATTTCTTGAGTTTTTCTTGAGATGAATGTCCTCGGGTTTCTTATTTGTTGTGTAATTTTATTTTGCTCTTAATTAAAATCTCTAAATATCTACAAAAACTCTCCCTAAAGTGTTACATATCTGACTACAGCTGCAATTTTATCAGTTCTGTGTAGAGCATCATTTTTTTGTTTTAATTAATGTCTGGTTGCTTTTAGCAACACAAAAATGTTTGTTGTAAAAGTAGTGTCATCTGTTTTTATACGTGTTTGAGATTTTTGTGCACATTTTATTTGTTCTGGCGTGATTATAATCTACAGCTTAATTGTTTGTCTCCCTAAATTTCCATAAACCGATCTTCCATTATCTCATAATCTGCCTTCTAAATCAGTTCCCACCTTCACTTCCAGCTGTAAAATAACAATAAAATATAAACTAAACTGTTAATATCTGAGTCTGCTTCTAAATCATCTTCAACACAAGTCAAACAAGTTTGTATCAAACACTTTATGTCATAAAACAGCTGAATGAACATGTTCAGATCATCACAGGAATCTGTTTTAAAAACAACTTTTGTTAGTTTTAATTTTTAGAGGTGAAGTACTGTGAGCCATTTTGATTTTAAAATGTTTAATTTCAGCAACTGTGAATGATAACTGTGTATGTTATTACAAATAATTAGCATTATAACTTTGGTTTTTAACACATCAGTTGAAAATATTGCTGTGATATATTTGTGATCAGTGGTGGACTCAGAACATCCCCTCTTTGTAACGATGGATTAACTCTGAGACGTCCTCTTTACACACTTTGATCCAGCCATCTTCCCTCATGTGGTACACTACATGGACAGAAAATACAAATGAATACACACAGAAACAAAAATAAAATTTTACTTTTCTCATATACTTGAAAACCATAATGTTGTACTAAAACTAAAACTTTCAGTATTCATTTTTTTAAATACGTAGATGTATTTAGATATTTTTGTAGATGTAGAAATTGTCTCAGAACACTCAATAAGCTGGCTGAAATGAGAATGAGCAGCTTGTAAAAAATCATTTGAGTAAAACAACATCCTTAGAAAACAGTTCACATAAAAATCCCTATAACCAAAACAGTTCATAAAATGGAAAAGTTAAGGAAAACTTCATTAGTTTTTCTTACAGTAAAAAAAATAATAATTAAAAAGAAAAAAATTGTTTAGTCCATAAAAAATGTTCTGGTTTAAAACACCTTGAGCAAAATTGAAAACAAATAAAAAATAAACAAGATACTGAACCATCTGTACTCACTGTTGACCACTCCTCCAGAGTAGGCGTCTCTGTGTGTGGCGTGAGTGATTCCTCGACGGCCGAGTTCGTACGCCTCCTCCACGCTCATGTCTTCTCTGTAGCCACTGTCCACCACACCGTAGGCGTAACCGTTCCCACAGCCGGTGGAGAACATCTGACCAGACAAACGTGTCCCATTATTATCCACGTAGTACAGACCAGGACCCTGCAGAAAACCAGAAAACACAACCTTTAACTGAGATGGAACAACTTTAATTTAATTTAATTAATGAAGCTACTGAACTTTTACATTTATTTTGAAACAAAAACCTGTTACTGCTTACACTAAGCTTAGAATTACTACAATTCATCCAAAACAAAACTTAATGATTTCAGCTTTTACAGAAGTTTTTTTTTAACATTCTTTATTTAAGAATATGCATACACAGTATACACATACTCACATAATACAAAAAAAGATTAGTGTCTCAGCAAACATTTAAAGTCCACTTCAGCAACTGACATCTCTCAGAAAGGCCCCCATGGACTCACATAAGACAGGTGCACCCATTCAGTGTTTTCCGTTAAAAAAAGAAACATAGACAAAGGGAGCTGACACAGCTTCTTATAACCCCCAACATTTTTGTTTGTGTGGCCATCCAAAGTGAGAAATAACTGGGCCCATATACTCAAAGAAATATAAATTTTTACATGAAGTTTTGCTGTTATCTTTTCTATTATATACACATCTTTCAATCTTTCTTGCCATTGTTGAAGGGTGGGAGGCAAAGGGTTAAGCCAGGACAGAGTTTCAGTTTGTTTGGAAAAAAGTTAACAATCTTGACTATTTTTACTATGTGTGACATTTTTATGGGTGCTTTTATTTTCTTCCACCAGAGACCAAACCCTATGTGTTCAAATAATTCACTAATTTTCAATTTTTTAATCTTCCCATTTCTTCCCCTCCATGAATTGCATCGTTTCAAGATGTACCAGCAAGTACACAATATTCTCCAGATCAATCTGTCTCTTCATCATGTACGTATAAGCAATTCGACCACATGAAGTTGTGCTGTCCAGTAGTTCAATTTCAAACTAGGAAAACTAAGTTTTTGGGTTTTTTATTAAATGCTCAATATCTGAAGTATACAAATATAATGTATAGCCTTCAACATTTTATATCTGACTCTAAAGAAATTACAATTTTAGAACCATATGGCAAATTATTATTTATTTGTTGTTTTATGAATGTTTGCTAAAATACAGCTCTGTGCAAAAGTTTTTTCATTTTACCTTATAAAAAACCTCCCCATATTTTCTATAGTTTTAATTTTTTTAAAGGGCTTTTGATTTTTAAATTTTCAGTCATCTTGTGGTTTATTTCTTGCACTTAACTGTTTTTTGAAATTTTACGTTGTTGGTTGTTGTTTAAGCCAGTGGTTCCCAAACTTTTCAGCTTTTGACCCACAAAATACCAGCAGCAGAGACCTGTGCCCCCGGCTGTTGTTGGTTAAACATTGTTTTCACATCTAATAAACAAGCGCAGTCTTCATTATTTATTACATTATTTTTGTTCGTTTTGAGTACACTAGTCTTATTATTTTGCAACAACAAAGGCAAAAAATGTTATTAGTTATCATTTTTCTGTGTAATTAATTCAGGAAACATGTTCAGGACCCCACCTTGATGTTTCAGGACCCCACTGTGGGTCCCGACCCCAACTTTGGGAACCACTGGTTTAAACCAACACACTCAGCTATGACTTATATCAGACTCTGAAAAAAGTGGATCTTTTTAGGCTCTTTCCTGCCAGTGTCTTATAAAGGTCAACAGGTTAACCTATCAACTATAACATACTTTATTCTACAATAAGAAATTTTTTTGATTAAACTGAGGTTTACTGTAACTGATTGAGTCTCACGGGGATATTTAAAGTTCTGATCAGTTTGTCGTCACCTGTTTGTCCCATCCACAGATCATGCTCCCCACAGAAAGGCCCATTCCTCTGTATCCTAACATCATGTTACACAGCAGCTTGGAGGCAGCAGCTACAGAGATCCTTTCATTGTTTCTTAGCCTGTACAGCCTGGAGAAAGTCAGAATTATATGCTCAGTTACTGAGAAATAAAAATAACAAACAAGTGTTTTCAAGTGTCTTGAAATATAAGCCTGTTGTCTAGACAAAGTACAGTGATGTGATTTATTCATGTTAATCCACATTAGAAGACAGTGAAATAAAAACGTGATCTCTTTCATGTCTGTCGTGTGTGAATTGTATGAATCTTTTACAAAAATGCAGAAATTGAAAACTTCATTAAAAACAGTAAGCAGTGTTTAATAAAAAAAAAATCCAGAGCAGACCTGCATTCTTTAGCCAGGAGTCTCTCCCAGTACTGACAGTCTGCAGCACTGCCCGACATAGTGCCCAGCAGGTATGGGTTGATCTCTATCACTTTATTCACATCAGTGGAGGCTGCAGAAACAAAACACAATTATAAAAATTACATTTCATGAGCAAAACTATATAATGAAATGTACCAATAGTGCATAATCAATAAAAGCAGTACATTTAGTTCAGTGCTCCTTTCTTTTGGCAAATGTCTACTGTTTATGTTCCATGGTTTTAAAACTAAAATGTAAATAAATAAACAAATAAACAACTAAACAAACAAACAAATAAATAAATAAATAAATAAATAAATAAATAAATA